CCAGGGGCTCCATGCCATTTGCTGCCTGCTGGTTTTTGACATGAGACCTGAAAAGTCCTGGCCTGGTTTCCCCTGTGCAGATCCTAACACTTCTGGGGACACTTTTGACACGTCAGGGTTTGCTTAACTTCCCTTGACTACAGTTTCTCTGCTTCCCATCTCTGCTGTGTGGGGTCCTGCCCGCCCCCAAGTAGCGGTTCCACATATAGACGATTCAGGAAGCACTCGGGATCTCGCAGGACTGAGACACTGACACCGATACAGAAAATGCATTTATGCTTCCTACAAAGTGCGAGCTGGGGGGCTGCCTGTTTTGCAACAGCCGTCCAGTGGGCGTAGCAGAGGCAAGGAACTAGTTTTAAGATGGAGTTTATGAATGGGATTATAAAAGATGGCTGTGTACTAGGATCCAAGAGATTACTCCCCTGTTCCTGGGGGTAGCCCGTCTCTTTCTCCAGCTCAGTGATATCGCTCCTGGCTGGTCCTTTTGGCCGCCTCTCTTTCTAGCTAGTGTTGTTATCCTGGCACCCATCACCCTGGCATATCATGGTGCCTCCTTAGGCTGATCATAATATCCTGCTATCCCTTCCTCATTGCCAAATAGCCAAGCTGGAAGAGAGGAGAGCAGGTGTGTGTCGGCGTGAGTCGGGGGCTGTGCAGGCGAATGTGTGGGAGGGGTGGTATCTGGGAGGCAGCTTGCCCACGGGAGGAGCTGGTGAACAGCTGGGGGTGGTAGCGCAGCATCGTCAGCCAGCGGGGCTTGCTTGGGGGTGTTCGTGCACCTGAACATCCGGATATGGGAGAGCCTGGAGGGAGGCAGCCGACTTGGTCCCACGCTTGCTCTCAGTGAGCAGTCACTCTGAAATAGCTGCTCAGAGACCCTTTCTGCAACGAACTGTGCTTCAGAGCTGCAGGCTTTCACACAAGCAGCTTCCAGGCGCTGCAGGGGGAGGGAGAAGACATCAGTGGAGTTGCGAGCCACTGGAGCTGAAGGAAACTGGTCTTTGCAAGAGAACAGGAGTGAGCATCCTGCTCCCTCATTCCGAGCAGCCTGGCAAGTTCTGTTGGGGAGGGGAGGGGAGGGGGAAGTATTTAATCCAGGACTCCAGCTGCACCTTGTCATTAGCAGAGCAGACGGACCGGCAGCTGACGGAGCCTCGGACACAGGACACAAGGCGGGGGCAAAGAGTTGTTTAGCTCGCGCTCTGCCAGAGCAAACTCCTCCTGCTTTCACAGCCGCGTGCTCCCAAACTGCAGGTGCTCCGGAGAGGGTGGCATTCGGCTCTCTACAAAACGAAGCGGAGCTGTGAGGAGGAGGAGGGGTGGGGAGGACTTGGCAACTGGATCCCACCAGAATACCCAGCAGCTGATTTAGCCAAAGATGAGCTAATCACCCCCGCTGCACACAGCCCCCATGCCTGCTTCCTGGGGCGCTCGGAAGACCGACGCGGGGTGCTAGGGCCACAGCAGGCCATTGTGAGCAGTCTCCCCCAGTCTCTCTGCCCCCGCCCCTGCCAGCAGCTCCTGATTTGCCTCCTCTGTCATGTTTGCCAGGATCTTCATCCCCAAGAAGCACCGGCAGCGCTTTGACGAGGTGGTGTCGCAGAGCCTCATCAGCAAGCTGTGCCGCACCAAGAGCGAGCACCACACCAACCGCTTGCGCCGCAGCCGCAGCGAGGACCACCAGGAGCGCCTGCTGGTGTCCACCCGGGCCAGCTCCGTGCCCCGCAGCCACGAGGAGCTCAGCAAGAGCTTGAGGAAGACCACCTCGCTCATCACCAGCAATGTGGCAACTGGGGCTGGCCGCAGGTAACCCTCTCCGTGCACCCTTCCAGGGCAAAATGGGGCTGTGTGCAGGGTGACAGAGCTCTGTTATCTTAGCAATGTGATGGGGTGGGGGAGGCAGGAGAGAGGGGGCAGGGCTTTGGGGCTTGGTGAATCCGGTGCAGGAATGAGCCTGAACGGGGACTTGCAGGCATTGGGAAAGTCTGGACTCCATGTTCCAGCTGAGTTTGTCTCCAGGCAGGACCCTTCCACCTTGAAGGCATCTTACTGCTTGTTCTCTGGAGGTCTTTGTAACCTGCTAGGGCTGCAGAATAACTGCCCCCCCCCCGCCACCCAGAGGCCTGGGAAGTCTGGTCTCCTGCCAGCAGGGAGGGACACAGCTTCCTGTCCTGCAGCCAGGGCATATACTGGATCAGCCAGTCCCTGGGAACTCCTTGGAGTCAGGCACATGAGGCCCCTAGAAGCTGCAATGTGAGCTGGGTGAAGGAAAACTGGGACTGATGAGAGGCCTGAGGTACCCCACGTCCCTCCTACGTGCTTGGCCTCGGTCCCTCTGCAGGTCTAGAAGAGCCAGGTCCAGCCATTCCCTGCAGATGCAGGACACCTTCCCATCTCACTGCATGAAGGAACATGCAGGCTTACGTTGTCACAGATAGCAAATCCTCCTACGGGCATGGACCTACACAGCTGATCCCATATCAGAGGTTTCTGTAGCAGTTCCTCAGCAGGGTGCCCATGGCATCTCACACAATTCCCCATGCCACTTTCTGCCCTGACTTCTACTGGGTGCAGCGAAACCTACAGTAGGGCAGGGGCAGGGGCAGGGCTGAGTCCATGGACACCAGAGCTAGACCTGGCTGATGGCTGCATCCAGTCCAGGGCAGGATTGGTCCCTGCCACCATCATTCCCAGGCTCTGTGCAGTCTCGTTTTCCATGCTCCAGGTTGTGGGGGGGCTTCCACCACTCCCCTTGGGAGACGACTGACCGGACAGACAGCTCTGCCCCAGGCCGCCTTTGCCTCATTTCATCCCCTTAGTCCCAGTGCTGCCTTAGGTAGATGTTCCCTGGGGTATCTGTGTCCTTGGAGACTGCATCTGCACATCTTTGCTTTAAGAACACAGCCGCTTTGAACGGCAGCTAAGTACACTTGTTAAATGAATAGCTTTTAAGGGAATTTTCCAGAGCCGAGCTGGAGCAGGGGAGCTCGGTCTCTGCTCCTAAGACCTGAGCAGCTCTTCCTGCTCCCAGTGTCTCTCCCTCCCTCTCACAGGTCCCTACAGGTTTTGTGTCAAAACCTCTCACATCAATGCGTGTTAAGCTTTAGCATCTGGAAAGCTTTGGTGGGCTCCAAGAGAGCTTGATGGCTCCAGGAGGGGTGGCTCCACCAGGCTGGTCTCAAGGTGAACAGCGCACACCCACGTGCGACAGTGATGGCGTGCAATATAATCTGCCCTGCACTGCTGACTCTCACGTCACCCGGAGTGATCTCACACTCTCCTAATGGATCCAGGAGACTCAGCCGTGGTGCTTGCTGGTCTGCAGATGTCTCAGCTAGCTGGTTAGGGGGATGAATGGTGTTTCCAGGGAGTTCTGCATGATGCTCAGGCATTAGTGAACAGCAAAATTGCGGAGCTCCTCCTTGTACTGATGTTCCTACAGGGCAGTCCCTGTCCACTGCAGGTCAGAAACAGCTCTGTCCCAGCTCTTCCACTGCTCCTGGACTCTACTGCCTGCAGCTGGGCTTTCCAATGCCAAGGCACACCAAAGCAGTGGCTGCTTGGGAAAACTGTGACTGCCATTCCCGATCCCACCAGCTGTGTATTTAAGGACAAACCATCTAGTGCAGTAGTTTTCAACCTTTTTCCATTTGCGGACTCCTAAAAAATTTTGAATGGAGGTGCAGACCCCTTTGTAAATTTTGAATGGAGGTCCCAGACCCCTTTGAATTATAAGTGTGGGTATTCACATGCTTTTTGATTGATCGTAATCATCTTTCACAGACCACTTAGACATAGTATAGAGACATTGCAGATTGAAAACCACTGATCTAGTGCAATGTAGGGCAGCCTGGCTCACTGCTAGTGAAACCCTGTATGAGAAAGGTGCTTCTGAGGTCTCATGTAAGCCTCTTGGGAGTCGGTGGTCTGGACAGTCCGGGCTGAAAAACACTTCAGGCCAGGAAACGCTGGGCTGGAGGAAGGGGGTGTGAAACCAGAACAAAATGCTCACTGGGTTTTGACTGGGCTCTCTTCCCCCTGCAGAACCGTTCGGGTTTATAAAGGCAACAAGAGCTTTGGCTTCACGTTACGTGGACACGCCCCAGTGTGGATTGAATCCATTCTGCCTGGTAAGCAACCATGACATTGCTGGGGATGCAAGTCTGTAGTGTTTGGAGAGACATTATTAGGGTGCATTGGCATGGCGTAAACGCTGAGGGCTACGCAGCTCTGGTCCAGGGGTCCTGATGGGGGAGGCCTTTCTGAAGAAGCCATTCTTTCCACAGCCCAAGTGCTAAGAAGGGGTCTTGTCACCAGAACTGCAGTGTTGCAAGGCATTGGGGGAATCAGAAACCATCATTTGACTTCCTTGCCAAGAGCCTTCCCCATAGGTCTGAGCTCCTCTGTGCATGTTCCCCCTGGAGACTAGATGCCAACTGACCATGGCTAAGAGAACTTAGTGCAGAGGAACTGAATTTGTGCTGAGGTGGGAGGGGTGGAAGTGAGTCCCCTTCTGTTGTGAAAGGGTTTTCTGTGTGGGGCTCTTCACTGCCAAGGTGAAGCCAGTGACAGAGGGGGTGGCTTTCCCTGACCTTAGCTATGGGTGCCTTGGCACAGAATGAATGGAGAGCTCAGGGGACTTTGATACACCTGAAATCAGTGCAGCTAGACAACACATCTCCTTTCCTCTTGCATTCAGGGAGCCCAGCTGAGAAGGCTGCTCTCAAGCCTGGAGACCGAATCCTATTTCTCAATGGGCTGGATATGAGGTAAGTTGCTGACTGCTGAAACTTGGCGTGCAAAATAGCTCAAGTGAGAAGCCAGGAGGGTGTTAATTAGCCCAGTACTGCTGCATTCACAGGTGTGAGGGGCTTGTGAAGTTTGTGAGCAAGAGGTGGGAAAGGAGATGGTAGGCGTGTGCTAGATGGCTCCCTCTCCGGGGACCGGGGCATCTAACTACACATGGGCCTGGGTGCTAGAGTGCAATCCTGCCCCAGATAAACATCTGGTGTTATGCTAATATCCTCGTTTTGTCTGCACGATAAGCAGTTTGGCCCCTCTCCTCTCCTTCCTTTACTTACAGTTCACTCTGCTGACAGCCATGCATAATTCATGGAACATTATCAGCATTGCACGTGCAATGTGGCCATCCTGGAACCCCCAGCTCAAGTCCCGGCGCATTAAGCTGCATGTGTGAAATGGCTGTTTGTGGAGAGGGCAAAGTGCAGACCCATCCTAGGCACTCCTGGGAAAGGATCCTGCCCTTAAAACCATGCAGACAGTGATGTTTCTGTGGAGACATTTACTCCCAGATCTGCAGTTACAGAAACAGAGCAAAACTAGACCATTGTCCATCTTCATCAATCCTGCACTCCCCCACGAGCCTAGTAAGAGTAACAGGTGTTCTGGGGGTCAGTTTCACCACATCAGAGACAGCACCAAAGGGGTAGCACAGACACACGGTAAGAAAGTGATGAATATTTAAAGGTTAAACATCTGATGCTCCTTCAGCTGGTTCCTGAGTTCTCAGCTTTCGGCTGATGCAGCAAAATCTTGGCTGAAACCAAAGAACAGAGCAGCCGTATTTGTCTTGTATCCTTGCATCCTGCCTTTGGGCAGGTCTCTGGGCCCCTCAGGCTGCATCCAGAGTGGTTGGCTCACATGTAGCAGAAAGGCGTCTCGCCTTTATTTTGTATATTCTCAGAATGTGGCGGGGAACAGGGAGACCAGGCTCTGCTGTTGTGTCATGTTAGCTGGGAAGATCAGTCATGGGCCCTCTCAGCCCATGCTGAAGATGCGCTGGTTCTGCAGGCCATAACAGATTGCCCAGGCTGTTCACACACGCCCTGCAGGGCTGTTCTGTGTCGAGGCCTGGCTGAGCTCTGCTAGTAGCTCGTGCTTGCCTCTGCTCTGGGTGGCACAGATGGGACAGAGCAAGGTGGGGTCGCTCATCTTTAGTGCAGAGCTGTAGCTTTGTACTGAAAGCTGTAGCCAGAGCCATTGCTGCACCTTCAGTCTCTGTAGGGCCCTTTGTACCAAAGGTGGAGGTAGCTGTGACCCCTGCATTTTTTAAGTGCTTGTTATACCCATCAATTTGGATAGGGAGTTGGACTAAATGACCTGTGGCAGTCCGGTCTGGTCCTACGTCTCTAGTTCAATGATCAGGCCCTGCTGTTGGGAACCTTGCCAGGGCCCCCACCTTCCAAACTGGTTGTGTTTCTCCCCATGGCTGTCTGCCTATCGGTACATTGCTACACATTTCCTTGTGAATCACTTTCTGCATTACGAGACCTCAGGGTTGCGGTCAGGCAGTGGAGCGTATGGATGCTGGAGGTGAAACTCATGTGAGCTCTTTCTCCCTGCCCATGCAGGAACTGCTCCCATGACAAGGTGGTGTCCATGCTGCAGGGCAGTGGAGCAATGCCTACACTGGTGGTGGAGGAAGGGATCGTCAATTTTACTAATGGTAAGAAAAGGTTCAAGTGCCCTTTTCCCTGCTCTGCAGAACTGGCCCGGTGAGCTTGGGCATGTTCCCCCGCAATCCCCATCTGGTTTCTCATATGGGGTTGAGCCTAAAGTTGCTCCAGATCAGCGAGAGTAGCACTTCCTCCCCAAGGGACTAGGCTTTCTCCCTCTGCAGAAAGAGTGTCTCCAACCTGTGCTGCTACCCAAGGGACCCATTGCACTGCCTGCGGTCTTGCGCCAGCCCGTCAGAACAATCTGTACTCAAAGCCCGTGCTGTGTAGAAGACTCGGCTAATGCAGTCCCTCAGCGTAGGTTGCCAAATGCTTTTATATCAGGACTATGTGCATGTGGTGTAATGCTAACTCTGCCGCACTTATGAATAATGTAAGTGGCGAGCTTGTGTACCTCTTGGTGACCGCGTCCAGGAGCGATCGGAACAGAGAGGGGGCAATTCTAGTGTTTCGCCAGCGCGGGTCTGCTGACGTCAGTGGTGCTGCAGCAGTGCAAGTGAGAGGAGTGCTTGGCACAGTGCACTGGCGTTGGGAGTGTTTGCCAAGCATGGGGCTGGCACGGCAGCACTTCAGGTCGGCACTGACCATGGACCTCCTGGGCCTAGGAAACAGCACTGGAGAGGCAGCAAATGGCTCTCATCCCTCTGTGTTGCTGTGGAACACTTTCCTGAGCCTGGCACAAGGGGCTTGCTACGGTGGAAGGCCGAACTAGGAGCCTGGTGCCTTGTGGCTATTCAGGATCCAGGGGCACTTCTTGGAAGTGCCTGGTAGCTCAGCTGGTCCCATTCTGCATCCCCAAATTCCCCATGGGATCCATCACTTCCTGTCCCAAGATGCTATGCAGTGTTGCTGTGCGTGGCTAAACAGCTCCTGTGTGCCATAGAGGAGAGGTGGAGGTGACTTGGCCTTTTGTGCCTCACTTAATCTATGTGTGACATTTGACAGATATTGTCCTCATAGAAGCTGTGGTAAAGATCGAGTCAGTGCTTGCAAAGTGCTCAGAGACCCAGCTGGAAGGTGCTAGAGAAAGGCCTTCATTTGGTGTATTTTTCTTCTACTGCAAAAAAATAAATTATTCTCTTCTAATATGAAAAAAATCACCCCTCAGTCTAGGAGATAAGATGTGAGGTGATGAATTACGTCTGAAAGAATGGGGAGAGTTTCTGTGTGTATGGATTCAGTTTACAAGCCTGTGGAAATAGAAGCTCCCTTGGAGTTGACTCTGTCTCTGTCAGTTCGGTACATTTAAGAAGGGCAAGGTTAATGATAAGCTTTGGTTCAGCCAGAATATCATCCCTTGCATGCAGCTACCAGACAGCTTGTGACACGCTAATGTGCCCTGTTCGCACCACGCTGCTTTTCAGGAGCTGCAGCATTTTTGTAAATTAGTCTTTTTAAGTCTGCGTGTTTCAAGACAAAGACACACATGTCTTCTAGTAAGAGGAAGAGTCCAGTACATCTGGAAAACCCAAGCTGCAGGTTCAGGGAGAAATACTGGGCCAGTCACACAAGTTCTCCCCTGATGCCTGCAGGAGCGCTGCCTGGGAGAGGCATGTGGGATCCAGCCCTTCCCATGTCCAAGTGCAGCAGTTGGCCCACAGTTGGGTTCTCTCCTCATTTATTTTATTATCTGAGCCTCCTAGCCATGGGAGTTGGGTTCCTTCCAAGGGAACAAGCTCCCTCTCACTGCAGGGATACTGTTGGTGGACTTGAGGCCTTCTTGCTTTTCATGAAAGCCTTGACTACAGTCATCCCCAGGTCCTTCATTAATCACCCCTCTTCATGCTGGAGTGCAGTTGCCCTAGAGCTGCCCTGGCTGAATGAACCTGGCCCATGCAGGCTTCCCAGCCCAAGGCTGAGGTTCAGTGCTCTCCTCTCTTTGTGCTCACGTGCTGCAGACTCGGACTCTGGGGACTCCCCGAACCCGTCCTCGGCTCTCACCTCCCTGCAGTGGGTGGCAGAGATTCTTCCCTCCAGCATCAAGATCCAAGGAAGGACCTTCAATCAGCAGCTGGAACATCTGCTTACGCCGCCCGAGCGCTATACCATCTGCAAAGCACTGGAGGGCTTCTTCCAGCATCGGTAAGCTGCTAGCTGCTTCATTCAGGTACTCCTTCGGGCACCGGGGTTGGCAAAGTGTCCCAGATAGCAAACTGCCTGAAGCAAAGCACCGAGGCTTCAAGCAGATACCAGCTGCATTGACTCTGTCAGCACTGCCCAGCTGCCTTTGCACTGTTTCAGCTTAGGACTCCATATGACAGTGCTGAGAATGGCCAAAGGGAACCAAGTGTCCTCAGTGCCTCCGACTTTGGTGAGAGCTTAGACCAACTCAGCATCTTGAGTCTTGCTTCCTTGCATGACCAAATGCCAAACTCAGCTCCTTCCTGCAATGCCTGGGCCCAGAGTAAATAGGGCTGGATTCTTCAAGGCAGGTGCCTTGTTCCAAGGCCAGGACAGGACTGTGGAAGGGGCTTTCCCAGAACAGGATACTGGGCTCAGCTGCAATTCCTTTGTTCTGGTAGCCAGTTCCCAACAGTAGCCTACACTCTGGGGTGAACCTCCCACCCCTACCCCAAGGCTGCATTTTAGGTGGCAGTTAGAAGAGGGCATTAGAAAGCATCCTGAAGTGCATGTGTTGGGACCCTCATCTCTGTCCCACACCTACCCCCTCCCTCTCCATCAGAGAAAGAATGGGGGTACCAGGGTGCAGAATCTTTTGCTGCTAGCCCAAAGAGGGCTCAGAGAATCATTCACACCTACGAGCTTTCCCTCATAATTGCCCCTTACTCCAGCAGAAGAAACAACCTCCTCGTTTTTGTGCCAGTCGGGAATTCTGTTCCTCTCCGGCCAGCCCCCGTGCTAACAGCACAGCCTGTTCTGACAGCCAGCTTTGTTCATTTAGCTACCACCCTGTCTGATTCCCCTCGCATTGCTCCTTTCAGCATTTTGGCGAGCTGTTCCCTTGACCTCTGCACAAGGCGGCCAGCAGCTGGCAGCACTTTCTTCCTGTAACTTGAACACCTCGCTGTGGCCCCACAGGCCCAGCCTCAGGAGGGCTCAGAGCCTCAATAGTGCTCCTGTTTTCTGCCTTTGACCCTTGCCCTTTTTCATGTGGTGCTGATAGAGCCATCACTGAGCCTGGGGTTTGGATACTGGGTATGTTTATATGCTGAGTGGCTGCTCGGTGTCCGCTTGCTTAGGGCAGCTGGTGCACTCACTGGGGAAGTCAGCCTAGCTCCCTGCTCCTTTCCACCTAGAGACCAGGCACTGCAGCAGGGTGGCAAATGTGAAATGCCAGGGATCACATTCTGACTTCTTACTCCATGCCTAGTCATGCAAACTCCCAGAGGCTTCACTAGCAGCCTTGCCTGAACCAAGCTTGAGGCGGAAATGAAGTAAGCAGCAGCAGGATTTGACCCATTAATTGTGCTGGGAGTGTAGTATAGAAGCCTTCAGAAATGTCGCACCATTGAACCTAAGGGGCTGCACATGTGCACAGGGAGGGAAGAGGGAGAGCAGGACTGCTCACTGCACTCGTCTTCATTTCCCCTTGAGCTCTGGGGCTTGAAGTGCAACCCACTGAAATCACCTGCCATCCCTTGTGCAGCCCTGCAGCCTGGGAGTTGGAAGTGGAGTTTCACCCTTCATTTCAGTGGCAGCAAGACAGGCCCCAAAATACTGAGAACAGCCAGTCCCTGGCTTCCCTTCCCAGGTGCTGCACTGTGCAAACAGCTTGGTCCTTCTGGCAGTTTCCTTCCCCCCCCCATGGGTGACTATGGACCCTGCAAGCCAGAGTGCTGAGTGTTGGACCAGTGCGAATGAAGCAGAGGAAATAGCATCATCTGCATGCTCACTGAATGACTGCTTGTGTAGGTGTTTGCCAGGTGTTTGATGAGAGAGACCAGATGGGGCTGCTCAGGTATATGCTACAAGGTCAGAGCTGTGTGATATCACACTGCCCATCTCAGCAGCCCTCGAGCTACTACAGCAGTCCCTTCTCTGACAAGGGTGGTTATGAGGGCTATGGAGGCAAGATGCATATATTTAGTGTCAATATCTGCAGCCTCCAAAGGAAGGAAGCATTTTCTAGGGGACAGGGAAGTCAGGACACCTGTGCCCAGCTTTCAGCTCCCCATCCCATTGGCTTGTGATCTTCACAAGTCCCTGCACCTTGAAAGCTATTCTTCCCATCAGAGTCTCTCTCACGAGGATGTAAAAAGAGGGTTAACAAACATGACACACCTCAAGAGCTGTGTGTGGAAGGAATGGCTGAAACAGGCTGTGGCCCATGGAGCAATGAGCAGCACCAGCAGCATCCTGGGAACTGAGCTGCCCTGTGAGTGCATGAGATTGAAGTCTGTACAGTGCTCTGCTTCTGCCTGGTCTTGGAGGCTGCCCCTCACCAGTGGGGTCATCTGACCCCAGCAGTCTTTCCTGCCCAGGTGCAGGAGGGCTGGACCTGGTGATTTCATGAGGTCCTTTCCAGCCCCTAACATCTTTGAATGCAAACAGCTTCACTGCACTGGTCTCAAGCCTTTCCACCCAGGCATCCCTTGCTGCTGCACAGCTAAGGCAGTCTGTGCTTTCAGAAGCCAGTGGTAGTTCTGATAGAAGCTTATGAGCCTGACCCCATAGTTTCCTTCCAATTTATTGTGGCTTGGTTAGCATTAGCTCTAGATGACTACACCTGCAACAGGGCATTACCAGCTAAAAGCACTTGCCCTCTGGCTGCTACCTGCTTGCCCAGCCCCTCCAGAGGGCCAGCATTTGGGGTTTAGCTCAGACCACACCTAAATACTCTTCCTCATTGAGCACATGTGAGCCCTGTGTGGCTCCTCCAGCCTCTTTTCAGACTCAGGACACCTGTCCTGTTAACATGGGGCTGTCTTGGGCTACAGCTCTTTACCCTCCACTTACACTGCCTTTCCCTTCTCATGCTAGAGTCACTTGGTTTTTTCTCCAGCTTTGCTATCCTTTTCCATGGTACAGAAATGTCTAGACCACCTATAAGATGGTGCTGGGTAAACAGACCCAGCCCAGATGCCTCCTCTTGGCAGGGGCTGTTCTCCACACTCAAAACCCCCAACTTGCTTTTCCCTGGGGCATTTCCTGCTCACTGCCTGTCTAACCCTCAGCCCTCCAGAGGGTTTCATTTTCTGAAGGGCTGTCCTTTCCCTATCTCTAGGTGTAACCCCACCCTCAACATGGCCCCCATAGGTCAGCAAGTGAGTGGAAGCAGTGCTTTTTATAGCCAGGTTGTCCCATGAGCTGAGACTCCACCTCCTACCAGGACCACCAAATGTATGAGAACTACATTTCCCACAATCCTTTAGCTTTAAAAGGACAGGAACCAGGTGCTTGCCCAGCACTCCCTCTTAAAAAAAAGAGAGAAGCCTTCAGCATTCAAATATGGGTTGGGCAAAGGGAGGTTGGAAAAGACATAATGCAGCAGATGTGCATGCCCTGTGCCCACAGGAACATTGACACGCTCATTGTGGATGCGTACCCTGTGCTGGACACGCCAGCCAAGCAGGTCATTTGGCAGTTCATCTACCAGCTGCTGACATATGAAGAACAGGAGCACTGCCAGCAAAAGATTGCCAGGTTCCTCGGCTACAAGTCCTTGGCAGGTGAGAGGAAAGCGCCTGCCCTCTGACAGATGTACAGGGGCCAGTTTCATGACTCCCCTGGGGAGAATGGCTTATTGCCTGTTATCACTGTGCAGTCCAGAGCTGCCTGAGGTTAGAGAGAGGAGACATAAATCACCACGGCAGAAGGGAGATTGCTGGTTCTTCAGGAGGGCCTCATTCTGCCCTGCCTCATGCCTTCTGTTGTCCATTGTGCCTGGGGACGCTTGGGTAAAGTGCAGTCCCATCCACCTGGCAGTACTGCACAGCCACTTTGCAGGGTTGGAAATTACTTTGCAGCCCGCGGAGCAACAGAGACAGAAGGCCTGTGTGCAATCACATCATTCATGAGATACTGAGCTGCAGATCTCGGGCCAGACACTGCCTGCTGATGCCTGAGGGCCATGCGATTTTGAGGGGGGCTGAGGGGGAAGTGTTTGTGGCAGGTTGCTGTAAAGAACAGTCGGTCTTGGGGGGCTGCTTGGAGAGTTAGACTGTTACAGAAGGCCCAGGAGGAATGGATGGCCAGGCGGACAGAAAGCAGGGAAAACAGCTGAAGGGGAGAAATGAATTCAGCATCTCCCATGACACCACATGGTGCAAGGCTGGTTCCGTTCAAACTAAGGCCCATGATCAGACCACATCAGGGGGATGAGGGACGTGTTCGATTCCAGCCAGGAGGCTTGTGAGATGAAGTGGTGTTCTGTCACAGAGCTTCAGGATGGTCTTAGCAATTCGCATGGCATCCTGCAAGGAAGAAGTCCACAATATACCTCTTCCTTCCTGCCACTATCAATTGTTGCTGTAGCAACACACAAGCCAACTATGGTTTGCTAGGGATTATGGGCTTTACAGTCAGGCAGTGAAAAGGCAGGGGAGATAAATTTAGACTGAAAGGTTTTAATCTTTGGATCTGGGTTTGTTAATTACTTTTCAATTCCTGTGTTTTAACCCATTTACTTTTTGCCAATATGTTTATTTTAAACTTAGCACAGTGATAGCTGCAAGAGGGCACTGGCAGTGTGAAGAAGGGGGAGAACTTTTAAAGGCACTGGGTTATTTTTAACACAGGTTCTATTTACAGAGTGGCAGTCACTCCTGTCGGGAACAGCAGCTTTCACAACCATGGTGCAGCTGTTTAGTATTGTGAGTCCAAAAATGCTTGTGCATGTGCTCACACACTTTGACTGCACAGTTAATATGGCTTAATTCATGAATCCAGGAGCTGCAGCAACATCCAGACTAGCTGTGGCTTTCTGGGGATTGTGGGTTTACCATCAGACAGAAAAAAGGGTGAGGGTGAACGTAAGAATGGAAAGCCGTCATGATTTTACATACGCCTTCCAAGAATTCAGACCTCTGTTCAAAGGTAATCTCTCGCCCCCTCTATGTTTTCAGATCAGATATCTGTTGTGTATCACAAGATGTGAACTTTGGCTTCTGAGCTGATTAAATAATATCCCTTGCACTCACACATCATTTTTCATCCTCAAAGCATTTCACAGAAAGTATGCTAAGAATCCCCCCTGAAAAGTAGGTGCCATCAGCACTATTTTACAGACAAGAGGAATGGAGCACAGAGGGTTGACACAATTTGTCCATCTCTTCATTGCAGCAGAGCCAGAGGCTGAGGAGCGGCACCGGAGCTCGGTGAGAGGTGCCTCTTTGTGTCGGGGAAGTCTTCGAACCCGCGGCCCAGAGGAGAGCAGGATGGCAGGTGAGTAAAGACTCCCCGTGGCCAATGCCTCTGGCTGTTTCTGCTCCTCCACAGGCCAGAACAGCTTGCAGAGGAGCATGTGGCAGCACAAGGCATGAGCTGGCAGAGTCAGGCTCAGGGTCTCTGCTAGAAAATCCCCTTCTGTCAGTCAAGAAAGCCTTCCTGTAAAAGCTGCCTGGACTGTAGCTGTATGTTATGTTTACCATCCCCAGCCTCATTTGGAGGAGAACGACCAAGGGCAGCTGCTTTGGGGGTGAGTGCTGAGCTAAAACCTTCAGCTTCCTGCCCTGGGCTTCCTCTGGGGATGAACCTAACTCCAGCATTGAAGATGCAGCTAATTTCCCACTGGCTTGAGTCCCTGGTTGCTCTCAGGACCCCTCTGCCCCTGTTTGGACCTCCTCATTCCCACCTCTGCAAAGCCCACACAGGGGAGAAGCTAGTTTTGAAGGGTGTTGTAGCTTCTTAACCCTCGGAGCAGTTCTCAGCCCTGCTAGGCCCCCCTGGCCTCCTAGAGCCCCTACAGTCTTCCTTGTCCTGCTCTGCCCTGCACAGCAGCTGCAGCTAACATCACACCTTTAGTCTCCCACCTCCTGCACCTCAGTTGTGTCAGGTCCCTCCTTGCCAGCCCAGTCCCTGTCCCAGCCATGACAGCTCTGGAGGGAATTCCTCCTGTGGAGCCTTCTCACGCATCAGCTTCCCAGAGCCATCCCTTCCTCCATAGCCAGCTGAATTCCACTGCTCTAGGTCTCACGCATTCCCCCCACATGGGGATAATTGGACTTCTCAAAACAAGACCCTAATTCCTTAGGGGGCCCTGTCACTGACAGCAGGGACCTCAGCATCCCTGGCCCATCACCAGAGGGTGTTGTTGCAGCCACAAGCCCTTTCCTTTAATTCACAGTGGAGAAAGATTTGCTGCACCTGACAATAATGCAGGGAATCCATGACAGCTGCTCTAGCCAGAACAGAGCCTAGTGTCCCAGACAGATGCTTGGCGCTGGTAGGTCAGGACTCGTGTCCTCAGCTGCCCTTCCAAAGCCGAGACAGGGCAGAGCCTGACATGCTGTCTCCATGCTAATCCGACTGAATTAATGTGGAGCCCGAGGAGAGGGCTGGGAACGGACCCTGCCCGGGAGGTTTCCATCTCTTTTTGTTGCACAAGCCATTAATTTAGAGAAGGGCTTTCTAGGTCAGTGGGATGAAGAGTCCTGCCTGGCAGATGCTGGCAGCCTGCTCCTTGGAGCAAGTGAGGGGCAGCCAGGGTCAGAGGCGCACACACCAACTACGCAGGCCCCTCCTGTACGTTCCAGCACTTCCCTCCCTTTGCCCTCACTACTCCTGCTCCTGCCCACAGTGCTGGATCAGTCTGTTGTCCAGAATGGCAGCAAGCTGAGGTGTCTGAAGGAAAGCAACAAGACACTTGTTAAAAAAGGGGGAAAACCTTTGGTGCTGCAGTGAGAAATGCCTTGGTGCAATGCCACAAGGATGGCTGCATTAGAGACCAAATTGGCATTCTGCCTTCCAGTGCTGCCCAAGAGACCACTACACTGGCAGGGGAAAGTCGATGTGGCCCCCCAAGAAGTGCATGTTGCATGCTGCTGTCATACCAGCACCTTTCAAATGCTGAGGATTCAGGGAAGCGTCACAGCAGCCTGCTCCTGTGGTAGGCAGAGAAACAGCAGGAGCCTCCCTCTGTAACTGCAGAAACAGGCACAGAGAAGCAGGGGGGCCCAGAGCAGGGAGGGAGCTGCTCTCAGACAGGCAGCTAGCACTCTCCCATCCCATGCTGCCAGGCCTGCACTCAGCTCACCTTAGGCTCTGACTGTACAAGGGGATCCTTGTGCCTGCCTGTGTCATGTCATGTCTGTTCCTGTGGGCACCTGGAGTGGGACCCAGGAAAATATGTCCATTCCTTTTTCATTAAGGCTTGAGGACTCAGCAGTCCCTGGAGGTCTACATCTTGCTGCAAACCCAGAGCCTCCATTGC